CCCCCATCTCACCCAGGAGAAAGGGAGCCTGGCCTGCCTTTGCGATAACAGTCTCACACATACCAAGCACCGAGCCAAGTACTTTACATCCATTATCTCTCATGCTTAAATCCATCCTATGAGGAATTAGCATCACTATCCCTATTTTACAGATGAGGCAGTTGAGACTCAGAGAGACAAAGCAACTTGCCCAAGGACACACAGCCAGTAAGTGGCAGAGCAGGGATTAGAGCCCAGGTCTCACTCTGAAGCTGATGGTTTACAGTACTGCCTTTCTGGGTTGGGGAAGAAGAGGGTAAGAGCTGAGAATAGCATAGCAACATTGGGAGGAATTCGATCCTTGTAAATCAATCTACAGAATGAGGGTTCCAGGCCCCAGTTGTAACCGCTGCCAAGCGAGGGTGAGCTGTCATTTCTTCACTGGGTGTCGCTTCTCATGACCTGCCACCACAGGTAGGAGCGAAACTGGAGTGTTGCAACTGCTTGATGTGAGCCACGTTGGCAGGATCTAAGTGTGCTGATTATTCTAGTTGTCCCTCTGGTCCTGTCCTACTGGACAGTCTCATAAGATTTCAGATGTGACAGTAGCACTTGGGGACAGGCTGTCATGAGGTGAAGTAAGTATAGTTTCTAAAAAACCAGCCATGCAAGTCTGGTCTAGGTTTGAATTCCAGCTCTGCCCACTTACAAGCTGTGTGACCACGATGACTGACTTGGCCTCTATAAGTGGAAATAATAGTAGTACTGTATGCCTCAGGGCAATCAACAAACAATCCCAAATCTCCATGACTGACCCCAACAAAGGTTTCTTTGTCTCACGACATCTGATGAGGGTCTGGTGGCCTCCCATTTCAGAGCTTCACCAGTGACTCAGCAGGAGAAAAGAGATGGAGAAGACACATCAACTCTGAACTGACCCCCAAAGGAGCAGATGTCACTTCCCCTCACAATTGTCCAGAACTGGTCATGTGGCCCAAATTGGCTGAGGGAGGCTGGGAAACGAGAGTGAACACATGGATATTTGGTGGGCACTAGCTGCTGTCAGCTACGAGCACACCCAGCTCCAAAAGGCACTTCAAAGATTTGGCGAGCATAGGACTAGGGCCTAGGAACATTGGAGTCCAGCTCCCTTTGGCACTGGAGAGCACCCTGTCCTCAGTGCTGTGGTCCCACTCCAGACTGCGGTCACTGTTTGCATTTGTACGCCCTCCTAGATTCACCATGAAAGCCCGCATGCCTTCTCATTTGGGGGCTTTTCTGGCCATTTCTTAAACTTTCACATCATCATATCACCAGCTCTTCACAAACCACCTTATGAGATAGGTTCCATTATTGTCCCCATTTTGCAGATAAGGAAACTGAGGCTCAGAGAGTGGAAGCAACTTGTCAAAGTCACACAATGGCAGAGCTGGGATGAGAGCCCAGGCCCATCTAGCTTCTAACCCCAGGCTTCTAGCCTGGTCCCCACATCGAGAGGCCTTGCCCTGGACTCTCTGAATACCTTCTGAGGACAAGACTCAGATTCATCTCGAACAAAGCCCTTCCCACCTGCACCTCACACATGTTCAGTATTTGCCTAATTGAATGTGGCCTTGATCTTGTTCCCTTGGGTCGTGGGTGAGAGCGAGCGATCTAGCTAGAGGTGGAGCCAGGACTGGAATGGGCTCCTGAGATTCTCACACTTTTTAGGCCCCATACAGCTGTCACCTCACCTGACCCACTCCCCTCTCACCTTCCTGGGCCACATCATTTTACAGTGGAGGAGGAAGAGGAGAGGTAAGCAGCCAGGCTCAGAAAGGTGAGAACCCCAGTAAAACTGACCCCCTTCCTTAGCTTTCCCCTACCTCATCCAATTTTCTCCACGTGGACAGTTGGCTTGTCTTGCCTCTGTCCACACAAAAGGTCTCTCGATGCCAGGAGCTGGGGAGCCACGGTCTCTGAACCTCTGCCACACTTTGCTCACCTGCCAGCAAGAAGTCAGGGAACTAAGAAGTGGCGACAATGCAGTTTAATCAAAGGTTGTCATGACGTTTTAGGAGCACACTTGAGTGACACCTAACCAATCGGGACATTGGGGAAACTTCTCGGGAGAAGAGACATAGATGCCTGTGCAGTAGAAGGCGTCAGCCAGACCAGAATGTGGGAGGGTGTTCCAAGAGGAGAAATGGCACTAGCAAAGGCCCGAGGAAGAGAACCTAGTGGGCACAGGATGCTGAGGGACGCGGTCTGATTGAAGAGTGATTAAAAACAGAACCCCTCCCAAACGTAATCATAACCCAACTCTGCATTTTGGACCAGTTTTTTGGAAGGGGAGGGATATGGGTGTAGGGTGTAGTTTTTAATTTCTACAACCCATATGTTTTATGATTTGATTTATGATTTTAAAAATCCAATAAAGATATTAAATCCAATAAAGACATTAAAGGCAGACATGCAGGAAAAAATAACAAAGGGAATGCACCCAAATAATAATAATGCTTATTTAAGACGGTAGGATTATTGGCGGTTTTTCCGTGTTTTCCCACATTTCCACACGGCACGCAGCGTTGTCATACTGCCTGCAGTCTGGCAGCCGCTGGCGGCTGTCTCCACGCCCCCACCACAGCGCCTCTTAACTCGCTTAGTTCTCAAACCTGTAACTAATGCTTACTTGCTTTTATTCTTTATTTCTCCCACCGCCTTTTCGGTATCTAATATCAAATTTTATAGCAATGTATCCTCCTTTCCCTTAACTCTATACTAGTTATTTTGCTTAACTCTAAACTTATCCACATGTTACTAGAAAGCAAGGAAACGTGTTACTTGTCCACTAAACCCCTTGCCTCTTTACAAATTACAGATAACCTAGAGTCCCCAGACTTCTTGTGGCCATATACGCGCATTCCGGCAGTCAGCTTGAGTTGCATTTCTTCTGGAAGGCAACAAATGGCACCAGGGTAGAGTCCAGGTTCTCAAGTTGAGGACGAATATGCTGCCAGTGCCTCAAGGACTTTTTGCATTTGGGGGCAATTTGAATGCACTAAATAAAATGCTTGGGAGGAAAGCATCATCTGGGTCCAGTTCCTTCTTGGGTGAGGTCTCCTCTCCCAGGTGACATGGCAGGCAGTGGCCTCGCGGAGGCAGTGTCGGCTCAGAGATGCAGGCAACGGGCCTGCAAGCTATCCCTGGGAAAGCCTCTCTAGGAAGCTCTGGGCCTGCCAAGCTACTGGATGCAGACTAGATCCTCCCAGTGCCTCACACAGGACGGGGGTTCTCTCTGGCAGCATCCCTCCCAGGAGTCTGAAGTGACCCCCCCGCTCCCAAGGTCAGTAAGGAGCCAACTGGTTGTGAGATGTAGATAGCGACATATGACATTTCTCAAGGCCTGCCCAATGGTGCTGGAAAACAGGCAGGCCAGGGCAAATGGTACTGCAAGTACATGAGCATAGTTCGATCACATTCCTAAAAGTTTCACCTGGCACATATGGGCACACACTAGCACAATACAGCCTGCGTTCTCATCCCTGTGGACTGAAAAGGGTCATTTCTGGGCAGCCTGACCTCACAGAGGCAGTGTCACCAAATTGCACCCCACTTTGCTCACAGGAAGGAGACACCTCGGGGAGGGAGAGAGAGGAGGAAGGCCATGCCGGGCGCCCGGCCACAAGTGAAGGTTTCCCCAGAGAATGGGGTTGATGGCAGTAATGACCAACATTCACACAACACCGTGGGTCAGTGTAGCTAGTTCAGACATTCCCAGTTCAGTGTCCCCAAACTCAAGCTCAAAAGGGTGAAGTGACTCGCTCAAGGTCACAGGTCCATACTCCAGAAGCCAGCTGATGATGTGTTGTCCTGGCTCCCCAGTAGAGGCTCAGCCTCTCTTGAGTCTCTCACTCAAGGTCATGCATTAATAAAGGAGTTAGAACTTGAACCTAGAACTCTCTGAACCCTTAAGCTTAAGGTCTTAACCACAAATCTCTGCTGTGTTTCTTACAAGTTGTATCCACCCAAAGCCCTGACCTAGTGGCCAGGACAGTGGCCAAAAATGAACAGCCTCGGCCTTGGCCTTGGGCTTAGCCTTGGCCCCTCTCTCCTAATTCCTCTGAGTAGGAGACCATGCTTTCTTCTCAGTAAGCCTCTCGTTTCCAACATCAAGGACTCTGAACAGGAGCAGATCCTCTCTTGACCTTCAGCTCCTTCAGCTTCTTGTGTTCACCCGAGAATTGCAAATGATCTCAGCTGGAATAATAATCATAGCAACTAACATGCTGAGTACATGCTCCGCGCCAGGTCCCGAGCCTAGCGGTCAGTGTGACTATTGCATGGATAGCTTAGGCATCCTTCAGAGATATGCAGTTATTCTCATTTTCCAGATGAAGCAAATGAAACTCAGAGAGATTAAGTCATTTTCCCAAGGAAACATAACTAAGCAGCAGACTCAGAAGATGAAGGTTCCAAAGACATACTCTTTAAAGGCGAATGGTAGTTTCCAAACCTCCGAGTATCACAATTATCTGAGAGAACTTTTAAAAATAAAGATTTGGGTCCCTAAGGATTCTGATTTTGCAGGCCTGAGGCAGACCTACATATTTTTTAACAAGCAATCCAGATGCTCTTGGTATCTGCCCTCTCCTGTGAGTATTCCTTGATGGTTGACAAAATGGATTTTAAATACCGGTAATAACGTCCAATCAAATCCTGTCTCCAAACCAGCCACCTTTAAACCCATCTCCAGAGCCACCAGCCCCTAAGAGCCAGCTCCATATCAAACCCGGCTGGATTTTCTCTGGCTTCTCCCCAGATCCCTCTCACAGGCCCTGGTGTTTTGTCAGCTCCATTCCTGAGCTGGAGCTAACCTGCTGCTCCACCCCTCGCCCTGGCATCCTCAGACCTGCTCAGCTGGTTTGCCAGGGAGGAGCTCGGTCTGTTTGGCCATCTTAGGGCTCTTCTCAATTCTGATTTATTAGGGGTTCAGATAGTGCCTGCAGGGGTT